GGGAAGAAGGGATCAGCTGCGGCCACTGGCGGCGAGCATCACGCCTGACGCCTGTCCGTGGCGGCCACACGTCCGGGCCGTCGAGTGACAAGTGGGTCTCGTAGGTCGTGACCCCACCTGTCCGTGACTGGTGGGATTTTCGCCCGTGGCCGCCGAGCGCTGGGTTTGTTTATTCGGAGGGAGGCGGCCGAGATGCGGAGCTGGTGCGACGGGTGGGGCGCTGGATTGACCCCGGTTCGTATGGGTACGTCGAACCTGGACGTCTTTTTCGGCAAAAAAAAGCACGATTCGCGATTCGCCCCTCCCTCCCACCACTGCCGTGCCGTGAAGGCTCGTAGCAGCCGCAGCCGCACGATGTGAGGTCAGAGATGAGATCAGGGACCATCTTGTCTCCCCGGCCCAGAATCTCGCGCTCTGTGCTGTGGCCCGTCCCGTGTGGCCGCCTCTGTTTTTAGCGCCAGCCACAGGGAGCGGCTCCTGGTCTCCGATAGAGCCGCTCATGCATGTACACTGCTAGTAGTACTACTCTCTTCTTTTCGGTTTACTAGTAAACTTGCACGTGCAACACGCACGTCTCAACTAATTCTAATATGCAAATATATGTGAGAACAACATATATAGAAAGATGGTTTGATTGCACTAAAAAATATTACAAATCAAGAAAATATTTTCAAGTAGCATCATATGCATAGAGCCAAAAATACACAATTATTTTTGATTTTACAGAAATTTCAAATTGTTCTGAAATTTTTCATTTTTTATCAAAATTTGACAAAAAATGGGATGAATTAAATTTAAATGTATTTTCAAATCTATGTAAAACTTCCCCATAATTATCAGTAGTATATTAGACAGAAAAATTGGCATCATTTAGGCATTGTCATGTCATCATGGGTACTCCACATTACAGAATTGCCACATAAATTTGGTGTCCACAATCCATGAGCCTGTCACATCATTATCACATATTACAAAGTAAAAGGCTCACAATACATTAGCCTCACACATGACCTCAATCCAAGGCTCACAATACATAAACCACACACATGAGCTCAATCCAAGGTTCACAATACATTATACACGAAGTGTTGCTTCAATTGATTTTGTTCTTGGTGCATTGAGCTCAGTTCCAGCTTGGAGAAGATCCTCATATTTTCCATCTTGGGCGATATGACCATCCTTGAGCATGTGCCATGAGAAAAATAAAGCACAAATGAGAGACCAAGGGCCCATTATCCCATGAACATTCTAATGAGAAATATTACAAAAGATGGCAAAACTTTCATGCAGAATCTGTTGTATTATTCTCATCAGGAAACATGCATAAACAACACACCGAATTGAACAACTTAACATGCTGATAAATTTGAAACAGCATATATACCATGTGCATTAGCCTCTAAAAAGTAGTGCTTCGACTGTAAGGATAATGTTATTACCAGTATGAAGTCAGTAGATGGTATGAACCCGACTTGATGGGTTACAAGAATTACTGTTTTGCTAGCTAGTGCCCCCAATATATAATCCCGCGACACATAATCAGACATGTTATGAAACAGAGGCACCTTTAAATAAAATATGCCTCTGTCACCAATGATCTGTGAATGACACGATTACCTGGCTATGGTTGTATGCTTCTCTTGCTCTTGCAGGTATCGAGGTAAGAATCTGCTTTGCTCGAGATATAGAATCAACACTGCAACAAGATGAAGCATCAGGTACCAATGCTAGTAATTCTTGAAAGTGGATACCAATGATGGTTGCTCAGGTTGTCAAAATCATGAAATATTAAAATATAACAAATTTGTACTTATACATCAGGCATAAAAATAAGAGTTAATTGCACTATTAAGACATAAACTTGCAGCGCCGGTAGAATTTCAAACAAAAACTTGCAAAATGACTCAACCGGGCCCGTAAAATTGCTTTGCGGGACAACAAATTAATTATCACTTAAGATGTATTTTTAAAATAGAACAGCAGAGGGTGGAGTCATGTTGCTGCGTAAATACAATAATATATATATGTTCCATCCATTAGGTCTCCGATAGTTTGTAAAATAAGAACATTGAATCTACTAATTAATCCCCCAACCTCCCATTGTCAAACATAACAAGTAATTAGAGAAGATAATTTTGTCATGATACTTCTTAATACAACATGATTTCAGTATACAACATATATTGATCCTAAGAAAAAAATCTGGTTGAAAAAGAAAATAGAACTACAATTTGGACTGGTCAGTATAACATACTACCGTAGGTTGTTCCCTCTTTCCTCATGATGGCACGTAAATTTCTCCCACGCACTCTCTGTATACTCTCTGTTTCTTGTGATTCAGATTAAAGGGGAATTTGTCAAATAGGCATATAAATACATTGCTTAGAAGTTGAAAACAATATGTAGTTCCATTTAATTCTAGAAAGCTAGTACTATAATATGATATTTGGGAAACGCTTGCCTGCTATCAGCCGCCTCCTCTATGTGATGCGTGTACACGGGTCCTTTGCGTCACTACATACATGAGGCATAATCTTTATGCCACAGAATATACCATTAATTATCATGGTCGAGAATAGCAAAATACAAACCCCAAAGTGAGATATATCCAGAGAATTTAAGCCTCTCAGTGTAAAAAAAATCTGGCCAAAATATAGACCTTTTAAAAGGAAATCATGTCCTAAATGAATAGCCTGCACGCCGCACACAATATTAAATGTCTCCTAAATATGTAGAATAGTTATAGCTCCTGTCGGGTGGGCAGGCGGTGCAGGTCTGTCTGGGCCAAGAAAAGGCTTCGCTGACCTCTATTTGCAAACAAAATTTTAATGCAAACTTTAATGTAGTTGCACGTTCATGGCTGATCAGGCATAAATGAATGATTGAGATGGAACTAAAATATCAAACTATAATTGTTGAATGATTGGTAATGCGACTCGTAATCAGAATAACAAAGGAGATAAAAACATATGAAACTCAATACCCTTTAGAAACAAATGTCACCCGCTCCTTCCTCGGCAGCTTTGTGTCAATCTCATCACCCACGTTCACAAGAACAACTCCCATGTGCGACCAAATGTGACCCGTCTCTAGCCTGCAGGCATGCAAGTGAGATGGATGTTGACTTGCTCTTGCATGAGTAGTAGACGATCCTTATGAATCTTGTTCAAATACCTCACTGTGCCAGCTTCATCTTGCTGTAAGTGTTTAGAGTATACAACAAAGACTTATTCAGGCTTTACCATAAAAGTAGAATGCAATTGTTAGACACATCTATTTTTTTGCATAACCAGCAGGCACACCTCATGCTTACTTCCCATAGCAAACTCTCGTGCAGAAGCATGTTGGGCACATCACCTGGAAGGCACAAACATGCATGAATTAGGATAGCCTGGGTATACCAGCTTTTAATTCTTTTGCATATAAACATACTACTACAGTAAAGTGTGCCACTAAGGTATATGCGTATAGCTACGGATGTTTCCAGTATACTTGAATATTTTGCTTGGCCATCAACATGTTTGAATGACGGAACATCTCCAGTTAACTGACAAAAGTCATCTTAAAAAATTACAGGGATCTTGAAGGTAAAAAGTGGCAAGTCCACACTGAGAAAATTTAGCAATACACTGGAAATACTGATGGATACTCATGGACATAAGTTCTCTAGAGTATATTAGTCATTGACATATTAGAACCTCGCATGATATTAGTCAATTATTAGCCATTGAATTTCAGGTTGTCTGTGTGGTAAAAGTATTACCATCTAAAATTCCTTACATATGCTAATGCAGGGTCGACCATTGCTCTACTTGTTAACGGATTTTAGACAAAAGCACACCATAGATGTTTCGGTACAGAAAGACAAAGCTCCTCCAGGTTGTACGGATGCCTAGAAATGTAGTATAACAAACAAGACGTGCTCTTTTTGAAATTTCAAATAGCGTGGCCTCATAGAAAAGCTCATGCGCGTGACTGATCAAACTGGTCATGGCATAATAAGAAAGCACGCACCGTATCGGGCTAGGATGTTCTCATTCTACAAGATTTGGCCATTGTGGATCAGCCGATGGTGTGGCGGCCACACCTTAGAGCTCTTGGGACGACCACCTTGAACATCCGGACGGTGGTAACCAGGTCGGCCACGGACTTGGAGCCAGGGCCGGTACTGAGAATTTAAGGGCCGGGGGAAAGACAACAAAAAGGGGCCCTAACCCCTAAGGCCACATAAACATATGCTGTTTTTCTATTTCAGTTGCAAATAAATACTCGATATACTATAATTTTGTTGCCTTATCATCTTAGTTATTCAGAAAAGTGGGTTCATAAACATTCACAGTAAAAGTTGCAGTCAATTGGCATGTTTTTTATTAGGTGAATAAGTAACAGTTTCATGCTTACTCAATATATTGTCATCCTATAATTTTTCATTAGGTTGTTCCTCAGCAGTAACTAAGCTAGTTGTTCTGAATTCCTAGCAGTAGAAGTACTCGTCTGTATTCTAACAAATTGTTTATGCTCCTTTCGAGGCCTCAGTCAAGTCATATGCCAGTTTTCATTCTCATTACCAGATGGATATACTAACAATCTTGCTAATTAGCACACAAATATATAGGGTACAAGTAATTAAGAACACTGCTGATCAAATAAAAAATTCTAAGAAAGGTATGGAGCAAGATATTTGGATGGGTAGAAAAATATAAATTGCTAAATTTTGTTGCTGCTTACAAGTCACGAACATACATCTCAGTTCCTCTTTTCGAATCCCAATCAAAACATGAAATCAGAGTGAGAAAGAGATATGTATGAGGATGATCTTTATGAATGAATGAACGATCTCACAAGACTATAAAAGAGGGGAATTGAGTTGAGAAGCAATTAATCACAATCTGGAAAATCGTAATACCTTCTTCCACTAATTGCACCCTGCAGCCGGAAATCTCGATTAGACGTCCTCATACATATCTGTGAGGCGTTCTCGACCTTGGCAAGGCTGAGTCTCATGCTGATTTGTTTCCAATTGGGGAAGAGATGGAATTAAGCCGAGAAGATTGCGTGTGTGACAAGCCAAGGATGAACATCATGTACGCACAGGCAGCTCGCCCGGGCAGCTCTAGGTCAGGTCCTTGCAACAGGCCAAGACGGGGCAGTTGTCGCGGCCCTTGTGCGGGGTCACGGAGAGGCCCACGTTGAAGCCGTCCACCACGCTCACCCCGTAGGACGATTGCTCGTTGCCGCCGTGGTGGAGGGAGACCTGCGGTGGAGAACTGGAGCCGCCCGCCGCAGTCGCCTATCGCGCAGCCGGTGCGCGCCCAGATGCGGCTGGACCAGGCGTGGGTGGGCGCCGGGAAGGAGCGGTGGGAGAGCGACGGGAGGAAGAAGCTGCCCCCCTCCAGGACCTCACTGCCGGTGTTCCCCTGGATGCCCGGCCAGATCAGGTTCACGACGGTCAGGGTCATCGGTGGTATGCGTGCGGAGCGGACGGCATGCTAGGGGCGGCGATGCGGGTGCAGGGAGGGCGGCTTGGCACCGGGGATGCGGGGACGGGGAGGTGAGGCGCCGATCGGGAGAGGAGGGAGGTTGGGGATGGAGCGCTCTTGTGCATGCGAACGTGCGAGGAGGAAGTGGTGCGCGGCGTGCGTGCGATCAGTCTAAGCAGTTTTTCTCAGAAGAGGTGGAGTTTAGGAGTGGCAGGGTGGGTAATTAAAGTGTAAAACACGTTTGATGTGTTGGAGTGATTTAGACCATCAGATCATATGCTTTAATGGATGAGATGACTCGGTTCTCCGCCCTCTCGTCCTTTTATAGTGGTAGTAGATAGGGCTTATCTCAAAATTTTAGTTTTTCAATTTTATAAGGCTTAATTTGGTTGTTCCCCATCACATGTTCAGACTTCAAGGTGTATTAAATCATTGCATACAAGTATTAAGAGAAAACTGACCAATGCATGCATGCGTTGCAATTAATGCATTCGTAACATAGTTTTTTGAGGAAAACAAAAGCATTAATTGAGTGCTTTTGCAAACTACAAAAAATATTCCACCACTCATCATCTACCTTGATTGGTGAGATTTTTGAACTGGGCCTTATAGACCGAAAAGGAGGGAGTAGTTGGTTTCTCAAACCTGCATTACATTTGCGTCCAAAGATACACATGAATTTGGAATCAATGTGAAAAGGAAAATTTAAACCTGCACTACATTTGCGCGCAAAAGGCACACACATTCTACGTAGCATTAAAAAAACAGTTGGTTTCTCTAACGAATCTGTTGAGAGCATGGTTAATAGTATAGCCAGCTGCTGGCTATAAGCCAGTGCCATGTCATCTACAACCCATCTTATAGCCAACATGTATAATAATAGATCAAAAGAGTATACTACTTTTTCATTATGTGGTCCACCTTTCATTCTCACAAAGTGCCTAGGAGCATGTGCTAGAGCTGGCTCTTCACGAAGAGCCCGCTTACCTTCTCTCTCCTCTTCTCTTTCCTCCAACTAAGCAAAAATATACTAGTTTATTCCATATAGCCTGCTGACTCATCTCTATTATACTTGCTCTGATGCTCAAGCAGAGACTGCCGAGAAGATGAGCCGGCAGCTCCCCAAAAATCGAAGTCACTACAAAGGCAGAATTCATGCACTTTGTCGCTACGTCTCGCCAGGCACGAACTCTACAAGTGGCGGCATTCATGCGCCGGCCATAATGGCGGTCTCTCCTGAGCCATCGCGATGCCACCGCGCAAACATCCTCAAGATTAACTTAAATTCCCTATGCATCCCGTTTCTAAGTATTTTCTCCGCGCAAGCACCATCCATGCATACATCGATGCCGCTCAAGTACTACTTCTCACCCTCATGTTCCTACTTCCACAAACCAGAAAGGTGGCGGAGTGGAGAAGTTTGCACGGGCCTGGAGTGCAAGCTCGAGCTGAAAGATGTTACGAGTAGGTCGATTTGGAGGAGACACTCGTCTCTGTATCTTCATTTATAGACTTGTAGGAATAGTCTCTTCTCTACTACTATTAAACAAGCAAACATATTCTTCGCTAAACGCATCCCACCACATGTACACAGAACAGTGAAAAAGAATTACCACCACATGATTAGACCCATTTGATTAGATCTAACCGTCAATATAAAAACTAACCAACACCGAAAGTACCTGTAGCAATTACCACAGGTGGACGGAACTCTGCCAACGAGCGAAAAGTTCCGCGCGGCCGCGTCCGGAGAATTCGCGAGGAGGATTTATTTCTCCGAGGATTTAGTGGTTAAAAGAAGATTAAATGTAATGTTCCTTGATTTATGGACGTGAAGATTAAACGTAGTGTTCCTTGATTTATGAACGTGGGACGACCAGCAAATATCTGGCTGTTGTGGAGTGCGAAACTGCGGACGCGATTTTTCTGGACGAATCCCGTCATCGCGTCCCGCTATCTTCCCCTCATCTTCCAACTACCCTCATCGTCGTCCTTGCACGCGCCACCCCGTCTGCGCCGCCCAGCAAGCACCCTTGGCGCGGTGCACACATGCCTGCCGATGAACAGGCGCCACGCCTCCTCGCTCACGCGGCACCGCGGGTCAGGCCTGGCCATGCACCTCCCCACCCGTCGCTGCCCACGAACAGTCACGCCTGTGCCCGCGGCATGGCGGTGCGGAGCCCCCCCTGCCGTTTCGCGATCTGCGCTGCCTCCCTCGACCACCGCAACTCCGCCGGATCCCCGTGCGAGACCCGCCCGCCGCAGATCCCGCCGGCTGCTTCACCACCGCCCGCCGCCACGTCATTGTTGCCGCCGGCCGACGCCTCATGAGGGAAGGAGACGACGTTGGGGGCACCAGGCAGCCACCGATTAGCAGCACAACGGCTGCAGCGATGCCCCTTCGCCAGCAGCTGTGGCACTACGGTGGGAACGTAGATCCATGGTGGGAAGGCAGATGGATTCCGGAGGAGATGGTCGAGGTATTCCTGCCTTCTATGTCTGCGTCATTCACTCAGTTCGACCTCCTCTTTCTCAGTACCTTGCTTATGCTTCTGTCTGATCAGCACCACTACTACATTTGTGCAGTGACATGTGCTGCAGCTGTGGTGCTCTAGGCTCCAGGGACACCCCTCTGCTGATCAAATGAACAGATGCATGATGCTATCTTATTAGGGCAAACACAAAGGTTAAATCCTATATGCACTTTATTTCTACTTGCAGACGTCAAGTTCAGTCAAATATGTCATGGTTAGCTGAATGGAAAGGAAAATTTTCAGAGAAGTGGTGCCCAGATCAAGAAGCACTTTTTTAGTCGAGCCATCATTTAAATTTCAAAAATTGAGACAATTCACTTATGTTTTTTGTAAAAGTTATACTTGAACAACTGTGCCAAATTGCACTTGAAAATTGTGCATTGGTGGTGTACTTTGGTGGCATTTTCTTACACTTTCAGTTTGAGTGGTGTCACAAAACTGTGCCAAATTGCACTTGAAAATGTGTTCTGTGATGTGGTATAACACCATGCTCGAGATATCCTAACTTCCTATTCATAAAACAAGCAAAAGCTTTGGGAGAAATATCATCTAATGTTTTGTGTTTTCATGTTAGGGGCATACTTCTACCAAATGGTATTTTTGGACGTGGCACTTAACCATTTATTTGTGACATGGCGTGCATTAATTGGTGCAAATTAGTTTATCAATTTCATTCAGAAGATTTTCACATACACATGCCTTTGCTCTTGGTGCTAGGCCAATAGGAATTATTCCTGGATTATTAGTTTTAGATCTTAGGACTAAATCCAGTAAGGCTCAGAGCGGTGCGGAACAAAGAGACGTCAAGTATCCTCAGCCTAAACTAAAGATTGGGTCTGTGGCATTTTAGATGATCCATAGTGGCGCTGATCCCCATCTTGTTGCTTTAGACCGAGGAGTGGCTGTACAAGTAACGTTTTCCGCTTATAAATGCACCACAAAAATGAGCCATGAGATTTGGATGACACTCATTTGTTCAGTTATTAGTTGGATGGAGCGTGGCTTTCACCGAGCTGTAGGTACTAACCAAGGGAAAGCTCAGATTATACCCTGCAATTAAGGCACTGTTTTTGATTGATTATTGGTTGATAGTCTTTCTTTTTAATTGTTTTGTTTTATGGAAGTTCATCACTGTACACATGAAAAAAAATGATGGATACATGGAGCATATGGTAGTATTTTTTCTCTTTTGATGTTCGGAAGATTTTGTATATTTGAACATTACTGTTTTCTTGCAATGAAGATTACATTTTTTTACAAGCCCTTAAGTTATCATCTTTGGATGAGTTGTTGGACTACCGAGAGCATGAACTTGACAATGATAGTGATGATTGGTTCAGTTCGTCCATGTGATTTATTTTGTTTTTCAGCCCAACAAACAATATTATTGGTTCAAAAACTTGTATAATGATCGAAAAAGATGTAAAATTATACAATTATTTTGGTACTTGTTTACTGGTAGTTGAGATGTGCGTTGCACGTACAAACTTACTAGTAGTTAGCAGGAGACAAAAAAAATACTACTTCACCAGTTTCAGATGGAGGGAGTATAACTAGTAATTAATGTTTCACCAAAGTCACCTGCAAAAGAAATGTTTCACCAACGTGTTGAAAGGATTAATAACTATGTAATAGTCGGACCTAACATGAAAGGGCCACTCTACGCCTTTCTCTTACTACCTCCGTTCTGGTTTATTGATGCCTTTTACAATTGGTGCAAAATTTTGATCAAAGATTTAACCAATAAAATGTTAATGCATGTCAACAAAAATTATATCACTGGATTCATATTTGAACATAGTTTGCAATGATATAATTTTTTGTAACATGTATGAACGTTCTCTCTCTCAACGGGCAAACATGCTTTGTAGGTCGTGCAACCCGCTCCTTGATGTTTAACTGAGCTCAAATGGTCTTTGTTCTTTCATTGCACATCGGAAACAGAAACAACATAATAGCAAAAAAAATCCAAAATTAAGAGACGGATGGTAACATGTTAATTATGGACCCCTTGTCCCACTTAACAAGAGAAAAGAACACGTCATTAGATCATCATCACCTGATTAATATCTACATTCCTGCAGGGCATAAATACACCATAATTTTATCTAAAAAAATCAATGCTTAGTGTGGAGCATCCGAGCCTGCGCCAGAGATTTATGTTTACAGAAATTTCTTACAATTTATCTGTATACTTCTTACGCATGTATTTATACACCAAGCACAACATTAAATAATTTCAAGGAAGGGATGCCTTCTACAACCTCCGTTCCTAAATATAAGTCTTTTTAGCGCGAGCAACAATGAGCGGCTCCTGGTCTCGGATAGAGTCGCTCATGCATATAGGAGTAGTTGGTTTCTCAAACTTGCACTACATTTGCGTCCAAAAATACAAATGAATTTGGGATCAATGTGCAAAAAATATATTAAACCTACACTACATTT